AATGTAATTTAGGGACGAGGGAGTGACATTTTGAAAACATGCATTACATTAGTTTAAAATAAAATTTTTAAAAATGAAAAAAATATATATGGGAATAGAAAGAGAGATGCAATAGTTGAATACTTGTAAATGTTACTCTGTCTAATTGCTAAGCTGGTATTAAATCTAGAAAATTAGCATCCAAGGAATCAACAACTATTAGTATGTGATTAATTTCTTACAAATTAAATTGTATTATGAAATCATTTAGAGATTACATTATTTTAGGGGAAATTTAAGTATGAAGATTACACATACGAAGAGTTTTAGAATGATGACACGTTAGGGTCACTCATAACCATGATGTGGTGTCACCATGTCAAATCACATCGAAGGAATTGTCACCCATGGTGTTAGCATGTTGTTCCATTGTATTTTACATAATAATAATGATAATAATATTATAGATTATAAAGACAATGAATTAACTATTATAATGGTGATATACTCTCACTTAGATTTGATTTTTCTCATTTATAGTAAATTTTATTTAACTTACTAGATTCGGCCCTAAGGATTGTTTTGTGGGCCCTAAGGATTATGAATATTACTTCTTCAATTAACTATTATTTTATAATAAAATATAAAACATTTCTTTATTAGAAGTAATAGTTAAAAGAGAAAGTACTTTAAAAGTAAAAACATTGGATAAATTTAGTGCATCCTGTTTGTAGCTAGTCACACCATGTGACCACTTATTAAAAAACAAAGTAACCCCTGTAATACTGACCCGGTAAGTCGGTAACCCTATGTAATGCTGATCAAATAACCCCTATTATAGTGACGAAGTAACCTTTGTAAAACTAAACGAGTAACCCATATAACACTAATAAAGTAACCTTCATAATGGATGGCCACACAGTGTGGGCAGTCACATATAAGACTTCGTGGGACAAATTTTATGTACATGCATGTTGGTAGTAGATCTACCATAACTACTCTAACTACACTAATCATGCACAAGTGCAATGTTATTCTTTATTTTATTCCCCTTTTATTTCTTCTTTTTTTTTTTTTTTTTTTTTTTGATAATCATTATTTATTTCTTTCTTTTTTTTTAATGATGATAAAAGCGCTTTTTTTTTTTTTTTTTTACTCTCTCGTTCCAATTCTAAAATATTTATACTAAAATCACTAACAATTTTTTTATTAACCATCTTGCCACTGTTAACTTTTTCATGTATATAATGGCTTTATGATAGAATATTTGTAACATCATATTACAAAGTCTTTTTATTCACAAAATACATATGCCCTTCGTCACATTTCTATAATTTTGTTTTCTATATACGTACTCCTAAAATAAATCACAATTTTTTATATACGGTCTGTTGTACCGCGCAGCAGGGATTACTTGAGTTTATCGGTCATGGGTTTCTTGAGTTTTTGGGGTTACTTAAGTTTCTTGGTCAGGGGTTACTCAAGTTGTCGGGGTTACTCAATTCACAATTTTTTGTATGCGGCCTGAGTGAGAAACTCGAGTAACCCCTGACTGAGAAACTCGAGTAACCCCTGACTGAGAAATTTGAGTAACCCCTGATTGAGTAACTCTTAACCGAGTGAACCCATCGAGTAACCTCTGTCCGAACCTCTCAAGTAACCCTTGACCGAGTAACTCAAGTAACCCTAACTAAAAAACTCAAGTAACCTTTGAATGAAAAACTTAGGTAACCCCTAGCAAAAAACTCGGATAACCCCTGCCGCATGGTGTGGTCTGGCCTGTTACACCAAAAAGTTGCTCAAAATAAATATTCTCATTCAAGGTACCCAATCTTTTCCTTAATTAATACATACATACCCTCATAAAAAAAAAAAAAAAAAAAAAAAAAAAAAAAAAAAAAAAAAAAAACTAAGCATAGCCTTTCAAAAGTGGAGGGAGAATAATTTTAAGTCTTCTATAATTAAGTGTGATTTAAATATTTCAAGAGAAAATGGCATTGAAAACTTGTCCAATGCATGTTAAAAATTGATAACATGCTTCAACAATATTGGTGATGTAGTCTACTATCTAAGGGGTCCCAATTTATTATCTTGCCTAGGCCTATATGTAAGACCAGGCTGATTCAAACCATGGTAACCTAATTTCATTCGGGTTAGGTAGTTTCTCACAAAATTTAGGCTTTATTAGGTAGTTTCTTCTCACAAAATGTCCTTTATATTATGTAAGGTATACTTGTTTAAGTTATTTAGTATTCACACTTGATTATATTATTTACATGCATGTTTGCTATGAAATTATTGCAGGAAAGAAATAAAAGTCTCCATGATTGGAGAAAGACGGCTAATCCCCAAATCTTTACAAGACATTATAAAACATGTGGCAGATGTAACAAGAACAAATCACACAAAGAAGTTGGACTTGAAATTAGCAGTATGTTAATCAGGAACTAGAGATATAGTGCAAGCCACTAGGAACATTTGTGAAAAGGTCAAGGCTGGGGTGATTGAACCCAAAGCCGTCGATGAGGCCTTGTTTGATCAAGAGCTATGGACTCGTGGCGCGCCTCACCCTGATCTGCTCATCCGAACCAGTGGTCGCCTCCGTGTTAGTGATTATATGATGTGGCAGCTAGCCCAAACCGAGCTATACTTCTCCCAAGTTTCCGCAATGGAATTTGGAGAAGCTGAGTTCCTCCAAGCCTTGTGCTCCTTTCAGCAAAGGGAAAGGACATTTGGAAAGTGATCATTTGTTCTAATTTGCACAAAATGTTATTAAATTGAAAAAGGACGTCAAGAAGTAAAGTCTCGAAGGATAGTATTCAATAACTAAAATTGAGTTTTGTTTAAGTACCACCGTGTATGGCGTTCTAAGGCTTCTAAGCTGAGTTCCATTTAATTTGGCATTGCGATTTTAGATCATTATTATTAGTATTTCGTTGTTGCTAAGAACTGTCACAATTCAAAAACGTAAACATCTTCATTTAGTTATTATTAACTTATAATCAATCTATATATGTCAAGGTTGTTGCTAAAATGCTAAATAAGTTGTCATTAATCAGTCAGAATTTTGAATTTATCTAGATGTCACATATATCAATTGTTAGTATTTAATACATCAACATTAAAATTTAAATAGGAATATTTACGTTGGGGTCAAAGTAGATAAATATTTTTATGAACATGATTAGTTGTTGTGGAAGGAGGTGAATCAATTAACCTATACTAAAAGCGAACCTAAGATGACATTTGTCACGATGTCATTAATAATTTTCCCTCCTTTTTGCACTTCCCTTTTTTTTTAACCAAATTTTAATGACGTCCATTTTATGAGCTACAATAATACTTATTTCTATTTTGACAACATATCTAATCCAATCATACTCAATTAATATTTTTTTTTTAACATATATTCTATATACTATTAATCTTTTAGTTACAAGTATACAAACATAGATTAAAAATAAGGTATTAAATATATCATTGTCCAAGATTATTATAATATTAAGGAGTATCAATTTTTTCCTCCAAGCTCCAACATTAATCATTTGACACTAATCGTTATGCAATGTGATTATTAAAATTAAAATAAAAACCGCTACTACTCACTATAATTACATTTAAAAAAAGTTGATTATGGAATACTAATTATCCTAAAGTAATATAAATCAACTAAATTTTCATTTAATGCCGGTCAAAGTGTGTCAACAAAAATATAAGGACAAATGTATATTAGTTCGTATACGGGTACTAACCTTTTATTTTTTTCCCTTTTTTTTGAAGACATATATGGGTACTAACCTAAGCTTATATTTTCGTTTTCTTATATAAAACCTAATAGCTTCTAAATTTCTATTAATAAATTTTTTTTAAAAAAAATTCAAAACAATAACCTTTACGCATTTGGTATACATTAAAATTCAAGTTATTTTGTCACAAATATTTTTTTGGATAAATTGTTAAATTAACAACCATTTTTTATTCCCCTCAAAAATAAAAATAATAAATAAATAAATAAATAAAAACCGTTCTTTATAATTTTTGTTGTAAAGTTTAATTATAACCGTGCATGGCACGGGACTTAACCTAGTATTTTAGTAAATGAGAATAGTTGCATTGTTAGTACATATGTATAAGGAAAATGGGTAAAAAAAAAAAAATACTACCTCCGTTACAGGTTATGTGCGTGCAACTATTTGACATAAAGCAGTAGAGGGAAAATGTCTAATCGTTGCACATAACTTGTAACGAAGGTAGTATTAAATCTAGAAAATAATTACATCATAACCACCAACAAAGGTGAAGAGAAAAATGACACACTTAACCAGATTTCAGAACTAGAGGGAGTAATACTTACGAAACCTCCTCGTTGATTGTATGTAAACCCTTTGATTATCTTGCAGAAACAAAGGGGATATATGAGCCTTAAATTTGTAACGATTTTTTAAACCTTAACATAATAACACACTTGTACATGTGAATTTAAAATCTATTAGAAGCGAGAGCTAGACCGACTGTTGGCCCAATGCTCGTGGACGATTTAGATTGGGTACGGACTCTTGGCCCAATGCTTGTGGGCGATGAAGACTGACCACCCCTTCAGAAAAAAAAAATGTGTCTTCCGCGCAAGAATCTGATAAGTAAGGAGTTATAAATCATCTTTATAGGGTATTGTGTGTGTGATAAATTTTACTCCATCATGTGATAAAATTTACTAATAACATGTGAGTCTTCTAAAAATCATCTGACAGCTCGCTACATAAACATATACTCTATAATCTATATGCATATGCAATCTTTTCTATGGAACAAGTGTACCAATGCATGACAATGCAATTATCTATGTTTTGATGCATCATAAATTGAAATATGTTATTACAGTAACATACATACCAGCCTCAAACTATATATAATACAGTGTTTTTACCATTGATATATATCATACTATATATAATTTTATAGTCTACGCATATAATAGTGTTTTTACCTTTTGTATAACACTACGTTACTTACCATTTATTTAAATGGCAATTTCGGAATCCATAAACACAAAAAGTCAAGAAAAATCGGATGATGAAATCAAAGAGCTCCAACTCTCCCTCCCAAAACAAACATGGCATGCTTGGCCAATGTACCTTTATCAAGGTTTATGGTGCTTAAGCTTTGTTTTTGAGGGTATAATCGCGTTTAAAACCCACTTTCGAGCTCATGATTCTGATATCATCTTAGCGAGCCATCCCAAAACCGGTACAACATGGCTTAAATCCCTCATTTTTGCTATTGTTAATCGTAACAAAATATCAAACGATTTTACTCAACACCAATTTAGCTCCAAAAATCCTCACGAACTCATCCAACAATTAGAGATCAAAGTTTACCAAAAGGTTAATGGAGAACAACCAAGCTTGTCCAATTTAGCCTTACCTCGACTCTTTGGTACGCACATCCCGTACTACTCATTGCCTGATTCAATAAAGACTTCAAAATGTCGAATTGTTTATGTTTGTCGAAATCCTTTAGACACTTTTATTTCACATTGGCATTTTAATCAACATTTTGAGGCATGTAAGGGTGTTAATAAACCCGATTTTGATATGATGGAGAAATACGTAGAAATGTTTTGCTCGGGTGTGTCTCCATGGGGGCCATATGAAGATCATGTGTTAAGCTATTGGAAGGAGAGCAAAAAAAATCCGGAAAATGTATTGTTCATGGAATATGAAGGGCTAAAGAAAGATCCAAGAGATCATTTGAAAAGGTTGGCGGAGTTTGTAGGTTGCCCTTTTTCGGAGGAAGAAGTGAAAGGAAATGTTATAGATGAGATAATAGAGCTTTGTAGCATTAAAAGTTTGAAAGAAATGGAGGTCAACAAGAGTGGAAAGATTGAACCTAGCATTGAGAATAAGGCTTTCTTTAGGAAAGGAGAGGTTGGAGATTGGGCTAATTACTTGACTCCTAAGATGGTAAAACAATTTAAGGAATTGCTAGAAAAACTTAAGGTGGCTGGTTTTTCTTTTGCATACTATCAAATGAACTCATAATTCAAAGCTCAAAAATAATAAGCTAGAATAAGTGATCTTGTTTTGCTTGTTTTACTCGATCTAGATTATTAAGGAATAAGTATGACTATGTTTCTAATGATGATGTTTGATCTTGTATGCTTACTTTCTTTAATTAGTTTTTCTGATTCTGTTGTTGAAGTACTAGGTACTCTTGTTCTGTACTGTTGATAAGTATTAGGTGACTCGTACTTCGTTGCTTTGTCCGCCCGATCGGGCGGACATTACCCGGTCTGACCGGGCGGAAAAAGAAGAGGTGCCTGGCAAATTCGTTGAAGAAGCTGCTCTCGCGCGCCCGACCGGGCGAGCCTTCGCCCGATCGGGCGGACATTGCCCGATCGGGCCGGGCGGAAGGGGTTTTTTGGAGTACTTCGGTTGTTGGAAAAGACGTGTTCTCGCGCCCGATCGGGCGGGCCTTCGCCCGACCGGGCGATCTGGGTTTTTTCAGCGATTACGAATTTAATATTTATCATATTGTGATATTGTAACCTAAGTATATCTTAATTAGGAATCACTACTATATAAACTTCCTATTATCATTATTAGGGTAACGGAGAGAGAAACACAAGAGAGAGAATACTTTGAGTGATTAAGTTCTTCATTGTAATCTTTGTAATCTTTGCCAGTTTATAGTGAAATCATTCGATCTCGGTGCCCGTGGACGTAGCTATCACATCGATAGTGAACCACGTAAATTCTTGGTGTTGTTCTTATTGTTTGCATTGAATTTCTTTGTTTGTTTTTTGGGGTACAATGGTGTGTTTTCAGATGGGGAGTTGTGTATTTTCAGAGGTTCTGAGTTGGTACTTAAGGGTATCAAAAGGAACACCCTCTATGTTTTTGAGGGTGTTACACTGCCTAGTTCTGCGGTTTGCGCATCTGTATCTCACCAGGAGATGACTAAGATTTGGCACATGAGGCTTGGTCATATGGGGGAGAAGGGGATGCAGCTATTGTCCAAGAGGGGTCTTCTATCCGGGGTCAAGGTTGCCAACCTTGAATTTTGTGAGCATTGTGTGTTTGGTAAGAAACACAGGTCAAAGTTCAGCAAGGGTGCTCACATTACTGATGCAGTGCTCGATTACATCCATTCAGATTGCTGGGGTCCATCTAGAGTTGAAGGTATGGGAGGTTACCACTATTTTGTGTCATTTGTTGATGACAAGTCCCGATACACATGGCTTAGGTTGCTTAAGTCAAAGGATGAGGCCTTCAAAGTTTTCAAGCAATGGAAAGCTTTGGTGGAAAATCGACAAGGAAGGAAGATCAAGAAGCTACGAACGGACAATGGGCTAGAGTTTTGCAAAGACGAGTTTAATCAGTTCTGTGCAGATGAGGGTATAGGTCGGCATCATACTGTCAGGAAGACACCACAGCAGAACGGTGTAGCAGAACGGGTTAATCAGACACTGCTAGAGAGAGTTCGATGCATGCTCTCTAATGCAGGGCTTGGGAGGAGGTACTGGAGTGAAGCTGTGTTAACAGCTTGTTATGTCATTAATAGGGGTCCTCATTCTGGAATTGATTCCAAGATTCCGTTTGAGATCTGGAGTGGTAAGTTGCCTAATTTTTCGAATTTGAAGATTTTTGGTTGTGTTGCTTATTATCATGTTATTGAGGGTAAGCTGGATCCACGAGCCAAGAAGGGGTGTTTTGTTGGGTACGGGGATGGTGTGAAGGGGTTTAGAATTTTTTCACCTTCGGAGGGTCGGGTCATTCTTAGTAGGGATGTTACTTTCGATGAAAACACCATGTATTCAATTAAAAATGCAGAGATTTCAGATTTGAGAAGGGAAGGAGACAATTTATTACAGACAGATGGGGTACTTGAGGTACATCAGTCTACCATTGCTGATTTACCTCGGGTACAATATATTGATGATGATGCTGATGTTCCAGTGCCGGGTACTCCTGAACCTGAGATTACTCCTACTCATTCTAACTCTGGGGATGAGGTGGAGCAATCTAATCAGGGGTCATCTAGTCAACCTGACACCATTCTTGAGATGCCTAAACGAGTTATCAAGAAGCCTGTTAGATTGATTGAAGAGATGGAGGGAAGAAATTGCTGTGTTGATGCGATGACAGGTTATGCATTGAGTGTAGCTGATGATGTAGAGTCATTTGAACCTGCCACATATAAACAAGCAATTAGTTGTAGTGAGTCTGCGCAATGGCTTGCCGCAATGGGTGAAGAGATGCAGTCTCTTTACAAGAACAGAGTGTGGGAACTGGTAAAAGTACCGGAAGGGAGGAAGCTTGTGGGTTGTAAATGGATTTACAAGAAGAAAGAAGGGTTGTCGGAAACTGAGCAAATACGTTTTAAGGCTAGGCTAGTTGCTAAGGGGTTCAGTCAGGTAGAAGGGGTTGATTTTGTTGAGATATTCTCACCTGTGGTTCGACATACTTCTATCCGTGTGTTATTGTCAATTGTAGCACATTTTGATCTTGAGCTGGAGCAGTTGGATGTTAAAACGGCTTTCCTTCATGGCGATTTGGAGGAGGAGATTCTGATGAAGCAGCCCGAAGGATTCGAAGTTCCTGGAAAGGAACACTATGCCTGCAGATTGCTAAAGTCATTGTATGGACTTAAGCAATCCCCCCGACAGTGGTACAAAAGGTTTGATTCTTTTATGGTTTCACAAGGTTTTGACAGGAATTCATATGATTGCTGTGTGTATCATAGTAAGCTGGATAATGGTTCCATGATTTATCTTTTGTTATATGTTGATGACATGTTGGTTGCCACAAAGAATAAATCTGATATTGCTAGATTAAAGGAGATGCTTAACTCGGAGTTTGACATGAAAGACTTGGGTGCAGCTAGGAAGATTTTGGGTATGGAGATCTACAGGGATCGGGCTAGAGGTAAGCTTTTCTTGACTCAGAAAAGCTACATTGAAAAGATTTTGTCTCGTTTTGGGATGGAAAAATCGAAGCCTATAAGTACGCCAACTACTGTTAGTTGTAAGTTGTCTTTGTCTATGTCACCTCAATCAGAGGAGGAGTTGTCTTATATGTCTAGAGTTCCATATGCAAATGCGGTTGGTTGTTTGATGTATGCTATGGTCTGTACTAGGCCGGATATTGCGCATGCCGTTAGTGTTGTAAGCAGGTTTATGGCTCGACCTGGGAGGGAACACTGGCAAGGGGTGAAAAGGATTTTTCGCTACCTGAGAGGGACAGCTGATATTGGTCTTGTGTACGGGAATGATAAGGAATGCTTGGTCACTGGGTACAGTGATTCTGATTATGCAGCTGATGTGGATACCAGGAGGTCTGTGACTGGTTATGTGTTCACTTTGGGTGGTTCTGTGGTTAGTTGGAAGTCTACATTGCAGTCATCTGTTACGTTGTCAACTACTGAAGCTGAGTATATGGCTTTAACTTCTGCAGCTAAGGAGTCTATTTGGCTCAAAGGCCTAGTAGGTGAACTGGGTATTGCACAGGATTTTGCTACAGTGTATTGTGATAGTCTAAGTGCGATTTGCTTAGCTAAAGATCAAGTACACCATGATCGGACGAAGCACATTGATGTCAGGTATCATTTCTTACGTACTGACAAGAGGATTAAGGTGAAGAAGATTGGGACTGCTGACAACCCGGCTGATTTCTTCACTAAGCCTGTTCCGTTTAGCAAGTTTAAACATTGCTTAGACTTGTTAAATATTGATTACTACGTGATGTAGTAGGCCCTGAGGGGCGAAGTTGGGGAGCTCCTGGTGTAGGTGTGTTGGCCTTAAGGTGGAGCTTGCCCGGGGCTTGTGATGCAGGTGGAGCATTATGAGTTGTTATACTTGGAGACGAGTATGTGATGGGTCTTGGTTGAAGACTTATCGGGATGTATGGCTTATGCATGAGTCTTGCATCGGGTTTGGCTTGAGATGTTTTTCACTATGTCTTGATGGGGTCGTTTGCTGACTACGAGTTCTCGTCAAGGTGGAGATTGTTGATAAGTATTAGGTGACTCGTACTTCGTTGCTTTGTCCGCCCGATCGGGCGGACATTACCCGGTCTGACCGGGCGGAAAAAGAAGAGGTGCCTGGCAAATTCGTTGAAGAAGCTGCTCTCGCGCGCCCGACCGGGCGAGCTTTCGCCCGACCGGGCGAGCCTTCGCCCGATCGGGCGGACATTGCCCGATCGGGCCGGGCGGAAGGGGTTTTTTGGAGTACTTCGGTTGTTGGAAAAGACGTGTTCTCGCGCCCGATCGGGCGGGCCTTCGCCCGACCGGGCGATCTGGGTTTTTTCAGCGATTACGAATTTAATATTTATCATATTGTGATATTGTAACCTAAGTATATCTTAATTAGGAATCACTACTATATAAACTTCCTATTATCATTATTAGGGTAACGGAGAGAGAAACACAAGAGAGAGAATACTTTGAGTGATTAAGTTCTTCATTGTAATCTTTGTAATCTTTGCCAGTTTATAGTGAAATCATTCGATCTCGGTGCCCGTGGACGTAGCTATCACATCGATAGTGAACCACGTAAATTCTTGGTGTTGTTCTTATTGTTTGCATTGAATTTCTTTATTGTTTTCTTGTTTGTTTACGACCTTTGCTTCCGCTGTCGCACAACATGTACTTCTCTTTTAAATTGAATAAAGTGTGAGTTTGTTTGTGTTGTCTTAATATTGCTTTCAATCTTTTTCAATATGAGTTAGTCGCATTATATTGGTGAAGAGCATTGATACTCCCTAGTTCAAGTAACTCAAGCAACAAAGCCAAAGATTAGTTAGTCATCATGCCTGGCCCAATGTAAATGAAGGCCCTAAAATTCAATATTAGGCCCTAAGATATCATAAAAATATAAAATTAAAATTAAAATTTAAAAAAAAAAAAAAAAAAAAAAAGAGTTTGAAAAGTTATTTTACAGCTGTTGTGCTAGCTTTTTGTGTCGTTGCATCAGATTTGTTTTAGCCCAATCTAATGCAACGACATTTAATGAACCATTGCATAGATATGACATATGATAGAC